ACACACACACACACACACACACACGCTATCTGAAAGAACTGTCACATACATATATTTCAGAATTAGTTCACTACATATAGCTTGTCTGTTTCGACTACCTCTCGATTGTCAAATGAATAGCATAAGCAGGGATCTCAGAATGTGGAAGACTGATTCTCTTGTGGCATTTACCAGGGTGGCAACAACTATGGTATCTTCTGGCAGGCATTCCACATTTCTGCAACTTTGTTGCATGAAGAACTGTACAAACACTGGATCAAATTCCATGAATATCAGCAGCCTTGGAATTTATGTAACCTTTTCAGTATGTAGATATTTGTATACAGGGAAAGAAGACCGCTTGGAATGACATAAACAGCCTGAGAGGGCTGAATGCAGCAATAACAGATTTTACAGAGTATTTTCTGCCACGTCTGAGCCATTTTAGATACATCGTACGGCTTCTACACAAAGAATCAAGTCCAAATTCTCAGCTGATTCCACAACTATAACACACTCTGGCCATAGGAGAAGAATTTAATACAATCCCCAGGAAACGACAGACAAGTTCCAGGAGACAGGTTTATCAGATAGCTCACAACACACAGATGTACAGATGGATGACAGCATGGCTCACAAGCTAGAGCTAGAAGTCCAAGGTGCCATGGAAACTCATTTGGGTGTGACAATGGTAAAACTGCTCTTTGAGTAAAGTAAACAATCTTTATACATTTTTTGCTATTTACACTAATAATTTGCAGCTGGGTAATACATTATTATACTTTACACTTTGAAGAGTGATACCGGCATGTTAACTACTCCTATACCAACATCCAGTTATGAGAAGCTTAGGTATGCAAAGCCGAAGTAAATATGTTTGTTAGAGTTATATGATAAGTAACTTTATTCCCCTTGTGTTCCCAAAGCATTGTGTAGCTTACACATCCTTTATCCATTCTGAATCATGGGAACATTGGAGTTGCTTTAGCTACACAAAATGGAAGACAGACAGCTGCTCTAAACACTGGGCACAACAATGATGATGTTCATGAGGTCTTAAGAAAGTGTATCCCTCAAACCATGGAAGTTAACTAGTAGGTATGGTGTCAGCCCTGCTATTAGCCAGAGCAAGGCTGTGCCTCCCCTAACCACTGAGCTAGTTCACTGTCCTTATAAAAGACAGAGGTTGCTACTCTAGCGTAACGGTTGAAGGAAGATACAACTGTCTGTCTGGTGGGCTTTTGTAAAATAGAAGGGAAAGGGGCTATCTTGTATTTCATTGCAGGTAGCAATTTGTCTTGGTCATGCTGTGGGAAGACATAATTTTATGAAGGGACTGGAAGAAAGTTAACTTCATGTTGAAGTCCATCTTTCAGGGTTAATCCTCCTGAGGCTATTGAAAACGTACCAAGAGCAATAAAGTCAATCTGATGCAATGCCATGGCTTTTTATTAAAATTATGCATTATCAAGTCACTTTGGACTTATGGTGACCCTGGCAGGTTTTTCAAGGTATGTGAAATATTTAAGGAGTAGTTTTACCATTTTCACACCCAAGAAAATATCCATGACAAAGCTGCGTTTTGAACTCAACTTTCCTGAGTCCTAGTCACTTATCCACTAGAGAGCATTAAAATCCAATTAAGAGTAAAAACAAAAGAAAACTCAAAGTCTATTTATAACTCACCAGTAGAGCAACTGTATGCACATACCTAAGAAGTCCCATAAGCTTTCACAAGTGAAAATGCTCAATAGCCTAATTCCTCATTATGGTGTAAACAATCTCTGTTGCAGCACACAATACTGTAGATAATTTGCCTATGCTGAATTCTTAACCTCAAAAAGTAATGACATTTGGGTTACACTGATATAAAATCACAATAGGATTTTAGCCTATGTAATTCTTCTGTAGTTATTATTTTTGCCTTCTTAATGTTCAGCTGTAATCCTGCTTCTGAACTTAAATCTTTAACCCTCTTCAATAGTTTTTTAATTAATTGCTTTCTTCTGCTAGTTATATGGTGCCATATACATATCTTATATTATTGCTGTTTCCCCCCTATATTATTAGTGTTTCTTCCTTAAATCCAATTATATTAAAATAAAATAAATTTTATAACACATAATTATTTTTCTCAATTCCAGTGTGAAATATATTGATTGTTTTTATACCTTTTGGTAAAATATTTGGGTTTAATTCATTGTCTCCAGGCAGAACTATATTTCTGTTGCACATTTATGGGACAGGATGAAAAATATGAGAGGTTAGCTTGGGTGCCCCTTAACTGCTCTGTAATATGTATGCAACTACAACTGCAAGAAAGATATTGATGATATTGATACCAATATCATCACTGATAGTAAACCTCAGTGATAATATTGGTATCAAACAAATTTCTTGGAAAGTCTTTGAAGTTACCAGGTATTACAAATATTTGCTAATACAAGTTTTGTGTACCACACATCCTCCCGTGATTCTTAAGAAATGCTAAAGAAGCGCTGGCTAAGTGCTGTTAACTCTACTGACAATATTGCCACAGGCCAAGTTCACCACAAGCCACTGTTTCTTATCACCTTTGGAGAATTCTTTGCCACCACAGTCTCACTCACTGCCAGTCCATTTCCTCTCTGGGATTGCAAAAAAACAGGGGTTTCTGAACTGTCAAACATTTTGCAGGTCAGGATACGTAGTTGACAGGATGTGTTAAGTTTTGTGGGTCAATTCTGCAATTTATCGTTCTCAAATCTTTACTGCTCAGTGTTTTCCCTGTTGTTCTCCTATGTTCTGTTGTAGCATTAGGCTATCCAGAATGGAAAAGCAAACACACTATTGTTGCTTATTAGAACTCCTGTGCCTTTAATTAAATGTTTACTGTCTGCAGGTCCTGTTTGCTTCAATGCTTCCTAATTGCTACAGATGGCATTTAGCACAAAAGAGACAATTTACATGCGTTTCTTGGAAAACCTCTTTTAATTGCACAAACACAATGTCAGTCTCTGTTCCCTTCATTTTTTATAATGAAAAAGGTCAATTTACTATAAAAAGAAAGAAAAAGCAAGCAAACTAGTCATTAGAGCTCCCCCTTTAGGAGGCCTGAAGTGAGGCAATTTAGACAAGCTTTTCCATTATGAGGCTGTTCTTCATTAATCCTCAGAGATTATCAACAAGAAACAAGGAAACAATCAGGACCTGTTAAGCATGAAACATTTGATTAATGCTATGCAGGATATCTGCTGAATGGAGTAACTTGTGATAGATGCTATATCAAGATCATGACCAAAGGGAAGTGGAAGATTAAGTACTGTGTAGGATCTGCATTTTAATACAGTTTCCTGCTTCTTAAGGAAATAAAATAATGTCTCATAATGTTAAGGACATGTTTCAGAATGCATTTTTTAACATAACTTTGGATGGTAACACTGAAGGGAATGCCTTAAGGAAGACTGTGAATAGGATACATTGAGAAGTGCATCTTCTTGCATTGCATAGCATGCAAGATAAATAGTGATTTGCAGTTCTTCACTGAATTCCACTAGCATAACAGGCTGAGTGTTCAACTTGAATTATAACTAGTCCATAGACTTGTAGTAACAATACCTGAATGTTGCTGATCATTTCACTGGTGATTTCACCTAGCACTGATTGAACATCATCGATGGTGTAACCCACCAAAGGATCTTTCACAGGTTCGGCTTCCACCTCCTCTTCTGGATGAATACCTCCATCTATTTCCTAACAAAGTATTAAGGGAATTACACATTAAAACTTCCTGTCTGGACACAATATAGAAAACTAACAGTGTTCTAACGTGTCTGAAAGAGTTAACCTTTAAAGTGCCTGTCTGACAAATAGAAGGAAGGTTGTTTGAAAGAGTGAGTGGATGAACTGGAACTGGTGAGTGTTTTGCCACTTCTTGATAAAGCAATGTCAGCAAATATTCATCCTAGAACTGAAGTCGGTGTATTCTGCATTCAAGCAGCAGTTTTTTTCCACAGAGGACAACCCCTTTGCTGTGTTTTTGGAGGGTGGGATGGGGGGATGGGAGAGAAGAGGAATTAACGACACATAATTTCCTTGGCCACTATAGTTTTAATAAGAAAAATCCTCTGTACCTTGGCTGCATCCTCTTTCCCTGGAACCAATGCAATAAATCTAGAGTAAATATCGTAAGGCAGACCCTCTTCCAAGGGTGCAGGGAAAGGGAGATCTGCAGGCTTGACAAGTTCTACAACATTCTGTTCAAAGACAAAGAAAGAAGAAAGCAGCTTATGTAACAAAGATGTTATTAATGGTTTTCTCCAGAAAGGAAATAACATGGACTGGCTGTCAACAATCAACATTTTTGTGGTCCCCAATTTTATCCTTTACTGTTTTAATTTCTGACTTTGTGAATCATCCTGGGGTGGCTTGGCCTCAAAAGGCAAAATGGAACTTTAAAAATAATTTAATTAATAAAATGCTTGCACATGATCCCATTTTTGGATGCCAAGCAATGTTACACTCCAGCTCAGGACCATAGTCCGAAGAGATCATGGTTTGCCACAGAACTGCGCTACAGAAGTCATTGTTAGAAGTGGGTCAAATCCCCTAAGAAAAGCTTTAACATGTCTCTCCTTTACCAAGTGGTTGTTCATCATTTCTTTAACTGCAGGAGCCATTGTTGTATGTTCTCCAGCTTCTCATGTTTTGCTGGCTTAGAGATTAAGTGCCTGAGCTTCTGCAGTTTTCCAAAGATATTGCCACTGTATGTTGATGATTTTGACATATCATTTGGGAGCAGGATTCTGTTGTTATGTAAAGTTTTAAAATTATTCAACCTTTAAAATTAAGTTTTTTTAAAAATGTACAAACATATGTCTGCCTGATGACATATCTGTGTCATGTGATTTTGAACTCTTCATTTCTCTGCATCAGTTATGCCTTTGCCCTACTTTGAATACCCATTCAAATAGCCAATTACAATTAGAGTCCAGCAGAACTAGTCCCTTTTGTTAATCATATGAGCCCTAACATTTGGCCAACAGCTTTTTTTTTTAAATAGTTGCAAAGTGGAATTAAAATGAAGTATTTTGTTTAGGAAAAGAGGTTTATGATCTGATCTAGGCTGTAAAACCAGAATGTAGTGATCTAAAAAGAGCTATTTGACTCAGTCCTTCCTATATTTTGCATTCTTAACAAGGCCAGGGAAAATTCAGAATGTATGAATTGTGAAGAGAGCCCAGAGCCAAATGTATTTAAATGAATCCTTCTGATGCAATATTTTCCTTTAAAAGTACAATTAAGGCTTTGTATTTCCTTTAAACAAAACCTCATGTATACTATTACCAATGATTATGCAGTGAAATCCATTTAAAAATAGAGAAGACAAGGTCAGCAGTATAATCCTGTTTTTAAAGTTACAATTTTTCCAAGATAAATTTACTGCTTTCTTATGTATATGAATGGATTTCAGGCAATTTGCTCATGCAGGGAATTAAGGCCACAAATAAAAATAAATTAAAACAAGTCTGTACTTAATTTCCTCCCTTTGTTTATGAATCTCTCTCTCTCTCTCTCTCTCTCTCACACACACACACACACACACACACACAGAGAGAGAGAGAGAGAGAGAGAGAGAGATACCCACATCCACACAGAAAACAATATTTGCCTAAGGTTGTTTGCTTCCCTTTGCAAGGTGTTATGTCTGAACCATAAAAAAAATTAAATGAGAGTAAGGACAAATTGTTATCAGATGATTATGCAAATCTTGTTCTTCTAACAACTTGGCATTTTGCTTATTAGCAACACATGGCCAGATACAGCTGCTGCAATGCTAGGCAGCCTTGAACCATGATTTCATCAGCTATTATATTCAACTCATAGTGCAGTGTACATAGATATTAGTCTAATTTGGTCCTAGTTTGCATAGATAAAGAATCGGGCATCTATGTTCAGCTACACCTCTTGTTTACTCACTCTGGTTATATTTGGGGTCACTGCTTGCATGGTAATCTGAATTCTATCCACCTCTTTATAGCCAGGACAATGAACCTTTTTCAGTTATCACAAGTTTCCCAATCTTTTTCTCATTCCTTTTCTATCAGAGGTTGGATGTCTTTGTGCGTATTATACCAAACACAGCCCTTCTAAACAATAATATATCATTGCATCCAAACCAGTCTCTACGGTTGTACTCATTTTTGCACTTCTTTCCCTGTTTGGGATGATCATTGTAACATTATAACATTTCTCATTGAGTCACCAAAGCATTCTAGCTTTTTGCATTTTATGAACTGTATTATTTCTCAGTTTGTAATAATTCACCTTAGTATTTCTTTATCTCTGAACTCAAGGAATTCTTAGCATATTGCGATAAATCTTCATTTAAAATAGCTGGAGGTCTGAGAGGGTTTTTAAAATGGATTGTTGTGCTCTGATGTTTTAAATGCATTTTAATATTGATTTTATTAATGTTTTTAATATAACACTTATTTAATTCTTTAAAATATTTGTATACCTACTGTTTTTAGCTTTTAAATATTATCTTTTAATGATGTAAGTTTTAGAATTGGCCTGTTTTAAAACTGACAAATCCATGCCATGCAATAGAACTGAGAATACATACATTGCACATACCCAAAGCTACAGCTTGGTTGCATACACCACTTTTCACCTTAAAGAAGGTCACTTCTATTCTGACTTTTAAATGGTTATGATTTCACAGTTGTTCAACCAAACTGATCAGAGAGCAGAAACTCTGAAACCCATTGAAAAACAATGTTCAGCAGGCCAAGGCGAAGAGGCATCACAAAAGCAGCAAAACCAGGGAGCTGGGTCTTCAGTGTGGAAGGGATTGTCAGTCTCTAATTGGGCTTCTCAGCCACACTAGACACTGTGTTAGTGCGTAAACACACACAAAAGTTTCAGCAGAGTAACTTCAAGGTCCTGGTGGCAAAATGACTCACACAGACATGATCAGCGTCTTCTACCACCAGACATATATTTGCAGGATATTTACAGATATACAGAGCGACAGCATGACACCATGAATTCACCAGAAGAGCAGGAATACATCTTCTCTGCACAGTCCACATATATACACTTATGCCTCTGGCTGTGTCCAATCAGCACAGATGTTGCATCATCTTTGAGCCAGCCCTCCTGAGTCACAGTGACTAAGCATTTTGACACACCTGAACATCATGGCTCCTCATTAGTACATTTGTTCTGCTCAGGCCTGTAAATTTTATACACTGACACGCTGTTCCAAGTCCCCCATACAGAGCATGTTACTATAGTCTCTCGAGACTGAAGGATGCCTAATCTAAATCTAAATCTAAAGTTTGGGGATAATCCTGTATAAAAATAACGTGGGTCCATAACTGAAGGATGCCTAATCTAAATCTAAAGTTTGGGGATGATCCTGTATAAAAATAACATGGGTCCATGAGGAGCTGTGCCTCACATGTATTTTTACCATTGCAATGCTATACACCAAAGGATCCTTGATTTATGTGTTGTAGTCTGTGGGTAAAAATGGAACCTATGATTTGACAGTGGTTTGGGGCAGATTCCACATAAAAATCATTCAGATCCATACCTTGGATCAGTGTTTTCGTATCACTGCAAAACCATGCACTGAAGGACCCATGATTTCTGTGGTGTAGCATGTGAATACAAATGGTACCTATGATTTGTCAGTGGTTTGGGGCAAATCTCACGTAAAAATCATGTGATTCCCAGAGGATGCATACCTGGATTCATGTTTTTGCCCCACTGCAAAGACGGCTCTTTGCTCCTTACTTCGAGTACACATGTCACCTATTTGTTGCCTCCAACCCTGCATTTCAGATGTTCCCATTTGCCTCCTGTATGCTTTGCTAAATCGCTCACTAAGTGGTGGGAGTTGCAAATGACAGGGGTGTTCTCATATGCCAAAATGATTCAAGAGGTGTTTTCACAGAGCAAATCAATCTCACAAGGGAGAAACAACCTTCTTGCTGCTCAGTAAAATGCCTTGTTTTCCAGCCAAAAAAATATGCTTCCCATGGGGAAAAAAAATCTGAGCTTCCATGTGCACTGTGAAGTTACCTTAAAAAACAAAACAATTTAAAACATGTTAAACCCGATTCAAATATGTCCCCCCACCAATGTAACCATTCCTTAACAGGACTTGTGAAACAAAAAGGCTCACAAATCACAATGTTGATGCTCCACTCCCAACCTTGCTCTAAAGGGCATGATGTAGTCAACACTGGCATGCTAGACAGCTATGAGCAAGGCGAAGGGGCTGAGGAGACAGTTGGCCAATGCATGTATTTGAGCCCATCATACCATTTGGAGCAACAAACACACATTTACAGTATGTTTCACAACTAAAGAAGTTGTTACGCAGTCCTCAACCAAAGAGTGTAGGATATATAGTCTACCTTGCCTAGAATCACTCTCTACTGCTATCTACCTGACAAACTAGCTCTGGAACTTGGAGAAACTTCAGAAGGAACTTTCAAAGTAGTATGAAGAACTTCTATTAGGTGGAGGAAAACTGAAACACTTGTGCTTGCACAGACCCTTATGTTTGCCTAAAGGGAGCTGTCAAGATTGGAGCCTCACAAAGTTACTAGAAGCCCTCAAATATATTCATCCTCCTATTTAAAATAAAATGGGGAAGTGCTAGAGTAGAACCACTTTTGCTCATGTATCTGTCATCTGCAGTCTCTAAATGACATACAAAAAACTGGCTTCTCTTAAAGCATACAAGAACAAAATAAGCAATAAGAAATATTCTGAAGTATGCAGAGAAATGGATTGCTAAAAGTTATAATACATGAATTATGCAATGTGATGTTTTCTTTAAAATTAATATTGTTCAATCTACCTATGTAAAATTCCACTTTCCCCAGATACTGCACTATTTTAATTCACTTAAAACATATTGTACTATTTATCTATATAAAAAAACTACTGTTCCTGAGATATAAAAGGAGACTTAACCGGTGGAAATATATCGTTGTAGTAAAACAGGTAACATCATATAAATAACTCCATAAGTTATAAGCAACAGCAAAGAATGCCTGCATTCAAAATATTACAGAGATGAAAAACAGCTATTTATTTACATGATTACAAGGAACACAGGAAATTATTTCAGTATTTTTATGTGCAGAACAGAAGAAAGCTTACTTACTAGGTCTTGGAATAACTGTAAGTGAGGAGCGTATTTACTAATATGCTTTCAGAAAATGGAATCTTA